GTCAATAGGCGAATCGGCCGCATTTCGGCGGGGGCGCCTCTGGACGATGCTGCTTCTAGGCGGCATTTCGGCGGATGCTCGTCCGCCGGCCATTACGTGGGCGCACTTAGACACCCTGGCGGGCGCCATGGTGCCCGCGAGCACCGTGTTGGGGACCCCTGCCTTAAACCCATGGCCTGGTTTGCAGAGTTGTTAAGCGCACACAGCTCCCACTGGTGACTGAACTTTTGCTGCCTTCGGGGCTCTGTGCTCCTAGAGATCGCCCCCACTGACACACACAGCTAATCAGCTTTGCCTTCGCCACTTCCATTGTCTGCCTGCCTTCCCGATCTCGTGGCACCTGGGAACGTCGAATGAAGGCTTCAGTCCCACTAATTAGAGCATCTACTAAATGTCAGCTTTCATAACCTGCAGCTTCTGTTCGGCATGCTGGGAAGGCCTGGAGCTGCAGGGAACTTTGCTTTTCAATGACCAAGAGGATTTGTGAGAGCAGAATGCCAAATGTCAGACGTATGTGTCGGCTCACATTCCGGTGCCCTGAAGCTGTAATGAATTGCACCAGATAGAGCACAGGACTGGGAATCAAGAAACCCAGGTTCTAGACCTCGTTGTGGAGATGGACTGATTTTAAAACATCTCCTGGAGTGACTGGACTGAGGGGTTCGGTACTGGGATCTGGAGCCTTTAATTATTTATAGGTCACCGGTTCAAATCTGGAGTTGACTGAAAGCTGTTGCAATCACAGCGTAAGCCTCATTCCTAGGCGACCTGCCCACTAGATCTGGGTGAACTATTCGCATTCAACAAGTTGTTTGTCAAATGTAGCCTCTCCTCCTTTGCAAATTATCGGCCAACAGACTTTGCAATGGCCAAATTGTAAAATGCGTTCATTACTCAGAATCATTAGATTAATGCTTTATGCAAACGTATTGCATCAGTGGTTAGGCTGCAGGGTGCGCACTGTGACAATTGCCGAGTGATACCGTCCGTCTGCAGGGGTCCAGCACTGTGGCTTTGGAGCCAAAGCTCAAGAGTTCTCTTGCTTCTCTTGCTGTATGCTTGCAGTTGGCAGATGCCCATGGTATCTGTGCGTAGACGCTGCCTCTGAATGTTACACTGAGCTGAAATGGTTGAACTTGAGACCTGACTTCCACTTTCTAACTATGCTTTTGGGCTTAGGCGCCTCATGCTCCCATGGTGTCTCTATGCAAACTTGTTAAAAAGCCTTAAAATCAAACGCAGAGGTGCTGGAAGGTGCCAGCACAAAACTGCCGAGGACAAAACTTCCCGTCGGTGAGAAAAGAGTTTTGAAATAACTGGAACTTCTTTGTGTGTGTTTGTATTGACAGGATGAAGCCGTGCTGCCTCCTGCTGGTGACTTTATGGCTGTGCATGGCCACCCTCAGCAGCAGCTCAGGTAAGTGAGGGGTCAGATTTTGTTTTAGGAAATGGCAGGCAGTGTCTTAGGTTCCACTCTTCCCACTCAGGACAGGAAGCACAGACTCATCTCTGGGCCTTTGAACTCAGCAGGGATGGATTTATTGCTTTAAAATAGTTGTTGTTTTTATATTCCTGGATGCAATGGCATCGGATGCAATGGGCATCTGAAAGAGTTCTGCAAACACAAGCTTCACAACACTCTGGTCACTAACATTATCCCATTTTACAGCTGGTAAAACAGAGACTCAGTGTGGGGGGGCGGGAGAATGACTTGCCCGAGGTCACTTAGTGAGTCAGGCAGGGCCGGGAATTGAACCTGAGAATCTTTCCTTCCTGTTTGGATCCGGAACATGAGATTCTGGCCCTTGAAGTCTGACTCACGTCTCAGTCATGGCTGCGGAGAATGGAACTTCTTGAATGGGCCAAGCTCGCATGCCAGCCTCATTGAGTCACGTTCCTAGCAGGAAATATGTTGTAATCCTCACGGGCCGTCTGGCTCGCATTCAGCTGGGCTGCTCGTGAAGAGGGGGATTGTATCGGTATCGGCCCCAGGCTTCCTATCTGGGGCGAAGGAGAGATGTCGTGATTTACAGAAGGAAAACGGAAAGGGGCGGGGGGGAGGGGGACAAGCTCTAACTTTATTAGGGAAAACCCATTAAAGAATGAACATTCCAGGCAGCCAGTGGAGGTTCGGTATGTCCCTCATGGGCATCGGCCTTGTTGCACCATTTACCGAGCCTGCGCTTGGATAACCCCCTCCCCGGAATCCCTAAGTGGGACCCCATCCCTTGCCCATTGGAGCTGTCCTGGCTCTGCTGGGTCCCGAGAGCCCCAAGCCCCCGGTGGGTGCGAAAGCCGGTCGGATTCACCTTTCTGTGCATTTCTCCCGTGGAATCAAAACTGACCTGTCTACAATGTAGACAATCTCCCCTTCCATTTCGGGTAGGGTGCTGCTCCCTGGCAGGGCGCCAGAAAGCGTTACCGGAGCATTTCACGCTGCCGCTCGCTGCGGTGACAAATCTGGGAACCCCAAGCCAGTGAGCAAAATCCAGTTCCCCGCAGTGCT